TACATTAACTTATAGATTGTACTGGAATGCGTCCGTGAAGTTCTTGAATATCTTACTGTGTCTGTAATATGTAGTGGAACTGATGTCTATAGCAATGTCACATACTTCATAAAGGATATAAATAATATAAAAGGGTTGGTATTGGTACCTCAGTATCAACAGTGTAACATCAATATTGCCTTTACTAATGATGTTGGTAGTAGTCAACCATTCATAGTACCACTTGGTAAGTCAATTATGTGTTTGTGCTATTCGTTCAAGCAAATCCAGATACTATTACTACTACTTCTACTTTTGTTCCTTCTGCTACATCATCGCTCTTTACTACTACACAATCATTCCCTACTACTACACAGTCTACACCATCATCTCCTACTATGAGCAACAGTAATGTTGCAAGTGCAGGTTAGCTACAGTGTATATCGACTATTATAATTTTCTTTATGTAATCTAGTGGTCATGTCATTATTGAGTGTCATCATAGTATCACTAATAATAAGTCTTACTATATCAGTAGTTTTCTTTTTCTACAAAAGGAAAGTATACAGATCTAGTAAGTTTTTTTATATTGTGTACTCTTATTTGTTCTATGATATTATTACAGGAACTGCCTCATTACAATCTCAAGTAGTAACTACTTCAAGCAAGCAGTTTCACACTGTAATGACTAATGATGATAATTCAGAAGAAAGTCCTTGGCCAGGAGCGGTCCGTGTACTTTTCCGAGAATCTCTTCCAAGAATGTAATTAATTTTATTATTTTAGTAGAAATAACTATATTAGGATTTTTTAAAATAAAAATCTTATTGCATAAAAATTTTAGAATCAGCAATACCATGTGCTCCTGGCAATACATTTCTGAATATGAATAATAAATATTTTGATTAATAATTTATCTATGATGAAACCGGATATTCTGCCAGCCCCTCCATCCTGCTAGATCTCGGCATCTTGCAGTTCCAAAGAGAATATATCATGGCTCTTTCTAACATTGGGTTTTGTTTCCAGTCATTCCTGTGTCTTTATTTTACTACTGTAACTAATGCTGGTGAGTGGCAAAAAGACTGCATGGTCTTGATATATAACGGTGAACGTTGGAAGGGATACCAAGTGGTGGCCGGAGGGGCATGTATTAGTAAAAGTAGAAACGAAAAGAAATGCCAAAATAGCAATCTCCCATTGTAGTTAGGAGTCCCCTAGTTGTGTTAGGAGTCCCTAACGTTGGGTTTAGGGTTTAGTTGTGTTTTTTTTTATTTTAGTCCGGGCCCTAGTTTTGTTTTGGTTTCTTTCCGTTTTTGGTTTTGTTTTGTTTCTGCTTTTACTACTATCCTGGATAGTGAAAAAGGTTGGTCGGGTCTGGTTCACACGAAATAATAATAGTAATGGTATGGCTTGTGAGACTAGATATTCTGTTGAGTGTCAATTTTCTGCATAATCGAAAATCAATCATGATTTTGATAAGCCTAAAAAGATGATTCCTCATTCCTGGTCACAAAAAATGGTTTGGTCAGGGTAGATTATCAAGAGTAGATTATCTTTTCAAAACAAACCAAATTCAATCGGACAAGAGTTGTAAAGAGAAAACAAAGACAAGAGAAATTTTGAGGGACTACCACATAAATATGTGTAGCCTAGGAATTAAGATATTTAAATTAAGAAATGAAACAGGTTTTCTTAGATGATCAATCAATTCTTCCTGTTATTATCATCCAATGAAATCACTAGGGGTAGGCAAATTATACTTCAATTTCTGCCTATTATGCTTTGAGGCACTGCCCCAAATTTCATCCTATTATCCTTTGAAATGAATATCAAGTTGCATGTACATGCATCTATTATAATTGCAATATTATAATAATGCCAGAATCTGAAAAAGTTTTCAGACTTTGAGTCACTGAAAAATAGCACAGCCTAAGCCATTGGACTCACCACACTTGCGTATAGTAGGTCACCACACTTGAGTAGGTAGGTATTAAGCAGTTGGGTTGTTGTACTAGTAGTCAAGATCATGTGGTCAGCAAGAAATTTTTTGACCCAATATGCTCCAATTATGCCAGCATAATAATTTGCCCTATTATGCTCCAAATTATGCTATCATAATTTATTTGCCTAGCCCTAAATCGCTCATAGTTCATCTGTATCTTTTCCCCATTTCTCCCGTTATGGAGTGTTAGTGTAACCAATTTCCTTCCTTTACTGTATTGTTATGACTGTGTAACATCTTTACTACCATGCACACACACGTGCACACGCACATCAATGATAATAATCTAGTAGACATATTCGTTCACACTAAACTCAGACATGTGTCCATGATATAGACACAGATTAAGACCATATGCTTCTTGACATAGCACCCAGCCCTCAATGTACATGGCTTGATTGATACTTAAGCTTGTTGTGAGTACTTAATATACTTTAAATTACAATTATTAGTCAAGTTCACAAAATTTTATAGATAGCTGTAGATGAATAAAAAACGTTAAGAATTAATAATCTTAGAGTTAATAGTCATTTTAAATTCAAAAATGCATTACAAGAATTTTTGAAGGCTCAACATCAAATAATCGTGTAGTAATTACTAATTAATAATTGTTTGATTACAGTAATTAGGATTAGCTAATCTTAATGACTAAAACTACAATAAACCTATTTTTAGATCAAGAATAGTTTCACTCTATATACCCTTGAGCACTTGCAATTATTGTAATATTTATTTCCATAGGTGCTACAATTATTCTTCTCCCAGCTGCTACCATTTTTCTGTCAGGTACTGTTGTTCCCATTGTTGATCAATCCTTCAATCTCAACTGTACTGGGACAGGAACCCTCCGGTGGTATAGAGGGTTTAATTTGGACACTCCACTCGACAGATACACTCAACTTATTGACAGCATTAACAATACTTTATCACTGATGATTACTTTGAGTGATGATGAATCAGGACAGACTGATGAGAGGAATCGTACTTTTTTTTGTACTGCTAATAATTCACTTGGTGTAGCTAGGAGTCAATCATTACTGATACCATGTAAGGGGAGAGAGAGAGAGAGAAGAGTGTGACAATGATGAACCAAATACCGTATACACCATATATTTTGCGGGTATAAAACTTTGCGATTTGGCTGCATTTTTGTATTTGCAAATAAAATTTTTTTGCAATTTTAATGTAATTACCACACCTGCTATACAATCAGCACTTTATTTTGTGGATTTTAATTTTGCAAGTTTTTCCCAAACGGGAAAATCGCGAAATTTAATCCCCACAAAATATATGGTGTATATGGTAAGCTCAGAGCTAGCTATTGCCCTTATTGTTGATAAATACTGATGTTTTTGAGTGCTTGTGGTGTGCAATTACTATAGATATCTCTTGCACTTTCTCACTTTTCCTCTCTCACTCTTGCTTTATTTAGTTTTCCAAGGATTTGGTGATATTGACAATACTACAATGATAGTAAGACTAGGACAAGCTGTTGCATTACTCTGTAATGTGACACAGAGGCCAGTGCCTACCATTGTATGGTATAAGAATAACACAATTATAGAACCTAATACAGTCGATGATACAAATCCCAAGTACATATTATTAGATGATGGACAGCACTTAGTTATATATGATTTGGTTAATGATGACATAACTGCTACTTATAAATGTGGAGTTAATAATGTTGTTAATCCACAGAATTCGAGTGATAACTACACATTGTATGAAGGTAGGTGAGTTCATTTATTACAAATATTGTTTTATATTATTCCCTTATAATGGTA